TGACTTTCTCTTGGGAGTTTTCCCAGGAAACTACTTTGTAAAGACAAATTTAAATCTTTCCTTTTTCTGTCCTTGAAGGTGGTAAATATGATTGCGGCTTTATCCACTTTTATTGTAAATGAAACAGAGTTCAGACCGTCCGGCTGTGCGTCATTTGCTGGATGGCTGCCACAGACTAATGCAGACGTCCCACTGGGAGACCAGAGAAGAACTAGACTTTGATTCACCAGATTGCGTTAAATAGTCCAGCTGTTGCGATTTGAAAGATAGTTACCTCAGAAGTGAAATAGAAATGAACTTGGCATTTATGCCTCCAACCATTTTTATACTGTTTGGCAATCAGCTTTTCAGAGGTAGCATTTTATAAAATAACTCTCACCGCTTAAAAGTTTCATTCACTGTAATGTTCAAAATGTCCCACCTTTATATTATCAGTAAAATTAAGCTTGAGTGATATGCAGAATTTGCATGAAATAAGCATTTCCCCCTCCATTTCATGAGCTTTGATTGTATTCAATTGAGCTCCGAACCGCGTCTATTAGGGCTCTTTGGGGCATTAGTTAATTTGAATTGCAGCCGAAATGTTAGCTAGAATGTTGTTGAATATAATTGGAACGTGGAAAGTTGATTTTGAAAGGAATTTCACTGAATGCAAACAATGATGTGCTTTTTAAAAATGAGAATGCTACGCTTTCATCTCTTGTAACGGAGTCTGCGAAATCACCGAGTCCTTTATAAAGTTCAGCTTTGGCAATATCGTTTGCAATTGTTCTGATTCTTCTGGTACCAGAACAGTTTGGAGTCAGGTCTTTGCTTTTACCAGCAAGCGGCCCCATCTGTCCAAGCCCCACTCTCTGGCTCTCTGGCAGTTGGGGACAAGTAGCTGCTTTCTCAAAGAGCGCCCGAGTTGTGCTTGGGCATCCTGCTTCGTAGAGTGGCGTAGATTGCTACATTGTCTCCGAGCTTTTATTCAGCTTTTTTGGTTTTTCTTCTTGTCTTGAAATAGCCTTTGAGCAAATGATCTAAAATGACCCATGATAATATCTATCTGAATGGGTCATAAAAGACTTACTAGTATGCTGTGGTAAGCAGAAGAATATTGGACAGGAAATCGAGATTCCAGTTTTCGCAGTATCTGCTATTAACAAGTTGTGCACCTTTGGACAAATCATTTAACTCACTGTTCTTTGGTGCCTTCATCTGAGAAATGAAAAGGGATCATTGATCACTGTCAGCCTCAACTTCTCATGATTCAGTCTTTTTTAATTTCACCTCACCTGTTTACTTGGAGATTTTCCAGCACCCAGGAGAATGCCATACTTTTCATGAGCAGCGAATTTTAATTCCTTATTTGTGGCCATTGCCCTTAGATGAAGAATTAAAGTATAAAAATTGAACAGAATAATAGTACACTGCAGTTCCGACTGGATCGTTGCAGTTGAGTGCCTGGGACTTTTACCTTGGGGGAGAAGCTTCAGATTTAACCTTCTAGAACCTGCCACTATGGCTGCCGAGAGCAAGAGCCTGGGTTCTTGGTGCCATCACTGATGGGGCTTGGGCTCTTTCCATAAGACAAGAATGGAGCTAGAGTGAGGCCCAGTGGGAAGGCCCCTCATTCCAGAAAGAGCCTTGGGCAGCCCCCCATGGGAACCAGGAATGGACCTAATGATCTCAAACCAGGAGGAGCTACAAGTCACAAAGGAAAAAATAACAAGGATAACTTGAAGGGATGGACTTTATATTTACATATCTGAAAGATGCAGCTAAATACAGAGATTCAGAAAGAAAGAAATCAGTAAACATCCCAGAATTGGCTCGCGGCATCATCGTGTCTCTAGAAGATGCCTGTGGTAAACAGCATAG